ACAGTTATCTTGCAAAAAATTCCCAACAAATCTGGTCATGTTGCTGCTTTGCTTAAAGGTCTTCAGTGACATTTTTGACTAGGAAGTGTAGTCTAAATTTCTTAGTACAGCATAAAAGCCCATCAGGATCTAGTTCTGCCATACCAGCATCAGAAGGTAAAGGACAGCCAATTATTTTGGTAAGAATGCATTGTCCTGTGGTGGTTAAGGAGATGAGTTATGGAATCCTCCTGCCTGGGCTTTCAACCACTACCTTACCACTTTACAACGGGCTGGCTTTACAACTGACCACTTTACAACTGATCTTGGATGAGTCACTTAGCCTCACTATGCCTGTTCCATCATCTGTAAAATGAGAATAATGACTTCCATATCACAAGATTATTGTGTGGTTGGCTCAATACCTGGCACTTAGTCTGGACTCAGTGATTGCTAGCTATTATTATTATTATTATTTTAAAAGGGAAAAAATATTACTAGGGGTCAACCTGGAGGAAAGGACTAGAATGGCTAAGGAAGTGGTCCCCTTGAAGGAGGCCCACTTCTCTGGAAAGTTTCACTTAGCTTAGATGTCAATAAATATACCCAGATTCTCAAGAGAGGCTCTGAAGTCTTTGGGGCTCTTTAGAGTGAGGTGGACCTATAGTCAGATTCCACAATGTCATAGGAAAGGTAAGAGACAAGCTCCTAAAGTGAGAGCCAGGAAAGCTAATTGTGAAGGAAAACAGGAACACTCAGGGACAGAGTAAAACAGCAAAGATGGTGAATAATTTCATATTTGTTTCTCTGAAAACAGTTAATAAAGTTGCCTACTGATTAAAGATGAGAGTCCTAGTGTGATGAGGCTTTGAGTAATGATGGGAATCAAATTCTAACCTCCACCATAAATTAGTTATGATCTTGGGCAAATTACTTTTTTCCAGACTCAGTTTTATAATCTGTAATATAGGGCTACATAATGAAGATTCCTGTATATATACCTATGTATTTATTAGTACAGTGTCTAATAAGTGGAAAGTATTCAATACACAACAGCTATTATTATTTTTGGAAGTACATTATCTTTCATACAAATCACATATAAAAATAGTCACCTCTGGAGATTCCTGTTTGAACAAAGCTATTGTATATTAACATTTAATATTTCAACAAATATTTGGTTATAACATATAATTGGGGACTAATGAAAAGACAGATCCAAATACAGTCATATTTACAGTGTTTATTTCTTTTAGGGATTATCGATTTTCACTTCAAATATGTGTGAGATTAATTTTAGTCAAATGTTTACTTAGTGTCAATTAAGTGTTAGCAAGCCATCAGGCTGGGAGGACGTGGGGAGGTGAGACTACTGAAATGAATAAGGCATGGTTCCCGACCTCCCAGAGAATAAAGCCTTGAGAAAAGAGAGGCACGATCCTATTGAGACACAATTAAATGCTCTACAGGAGAAAAAAAATACCATATAGATTAAAAGTCTTGACCAAGTTGATTAATTTTTCCAAACTCCTCATTTTCTCCTCTATCTTCCTCTGAATTAGTCTCAATCCATTTTTTACTTACTCCATCTTTAGTTACAGCAAGGAGTCACTATCTATAAAAAATGGTAAGTGCCACCCTCTATAACAGAAGGTAGCAGTCATTTGTTGTTTCTCTGCTATATTCTCAGTGCATAGCGAAAAGGAGAGTTTTGTTCCCTTTGTCCTACACAAGGTGGCTTGTTCCAGCGCTTTGGCTGTTGGTGCAGATGTTATCTTTTTAGAGAACCTTTCTCTGAGCACCTATTCTAAAGTTTTTCCCTCTCTCGCCCCCATTATTCTCTAGCACATCTACCTATTACCTTCAAAGACATACCTTTGCGGTGAATGCTGTGATGTGCCACCCTGATTCCCCTTAAGAATGAGACACTTCCTTAGCTCCTGGGAGTGCTGAGGTAGCCCTCAATGGTCAGTCCCCCTCCAGGATACACTATGCTAAAGAGAGTTGAAGCCCTGGCTGGTGTGGCTCAGTGGACTAAGCACTGGTATGTGAACCAAAAAGTTGCTGGTTTGATTCCCCGTCAGGGAACATACCTGGGATTCAAGTCAGGTCCCAGGTTGGTGACGTGCAAAAGGCAACTGAACAGTGTTTCTCTCCCTTCCTTCCACTCTCTCTAAAAATAAATAAATAAAATCTTAAAAAAAAAAGTAAGAGCTGAAGTTATACTCTCTTTCCAGGGCAACAGGCACCCATCCGATCAATGCAGGGGTATAAAGGGTTAGCCCCCGCTTCAACTTGGAACAAACTTGAAGTGCCAATCAAGCACCAGTGTTCCTGTGGGACAGGTGGAGGCCTTCCTTTGGATTGCATAGTAACTCAACTTTTTCTATTCACCCAATCCTGCTTGCTTTCTTCCTTAGTTAATGATCCAAAAGTCCTTCCTAATAAATATCCTGCTCTCAAGTTTCCTGAGAGTCTGCTTGCTAGGAAATTGAACCTAGGAAAATCTGGAAATATCTCATTCATTTATCAATGGACTTATTGTTTCTTTTCCTATCACCTGAATATAAGCTTCATGCCTGTTTTGGTCACTGCTATATCTGCTAACTTAATACAGCGAGAGATATATATTGGTATACATAGGTAGTATATATAAGTTCTATAGTATATATATTAAATATCTGTATTTTGCCCTGTATAATGTGCTCCCAGGTTTAGTGCACAACCACATTTTTGGCTCATACTTTTGGGAAAAAAACTTTTGTCTTAATTTTTTAATTCAATTATTTTTTACTTATACTTAGACATTTATACATGTTTTTTGTATTATAAAGGGATTTTAGCATTTATTTTTGTACGTATTATGGTACATGAACTTTTATGTAACAAATAATTACAAAACACAGGAACACATACAAGGTATTTCAGGTACTACCCTCGTATAATGCACATCCTTATTTTTCCTTCAAAAATTTGGGCAAAAAAGTACACATTATACATGGCAAAATATGGTAGTCTATGAGTAGTATGTATATACTGACAATGTTAATGAATGAATCAAACTGCAAGTATTGAGAGCTTCTAAAAAACGGCAATAGGATCTTAGGCATGGTCTCCTTGGGAAGAAAGATGAACATGACCTCAGAAGGTCGACACTTTAAAAAGGATTTCAGTCCCTGTAAACTCAAAGGCGCTGAGCCCTCCTCCTGCTTTCACACGGTTGGCATTACCACGCTAGCTGTACGACAGTTCTGATGTCCAGTTCCACCTCCCAGATAGACACAGGCAGCCAGTGCCACCCCAGAGAAACAGGAATAACCGACGAATCACAGGGTCCTGCTAGAAGGTGGCAACGCAAGTGCAATCAGTGCTCGGAAAACCTTTTCCACCTACTTCACGGTGTGGCCGAGCAGATGGGACAGTGAGGAGGCGCCACATCTGGAACCCTACCCACAATACTGAACACAACCTCATCATCCACATTCTTGCCACCAACAAGTATTTACTGCCTATAGTTTTGGTTTTTTGTTTAATCCTCACTGGAGAGTGAGTTTGTTTATGGATTTGAGAGAGAGATGACCATGGACTGATTGCCTCCCGTAGACGCCCGAGGGCGGATCGATCCACGACCTAGGCGTGTGCCCTGACCCGTGATCTGACCGCAACCTTTTTGTTACACCGGGCACTCTCCCACCAATTAGGTCACCCCACCAGGGCCTGCCTACAGCTTTTTTAAAGGTAGGTCTTTAGTTTTCAAAGGAGCCAGCTTTCTTATCCCCACCCCGAAATGTCCTTCTGTGAGGACACCCGTGACCTTTCTGGAAGGGGGAGGAGGAGCACCTAGAAGTCACCTCTCTTCGGTCAGGTAGTAAGCTGGCTTTTCCACCTGAGATTTCAGCGCTCTCACCTACCCAGCAGACGCTGCGCCTCCCTAGGCCGCCGCCACCAGCGGGCCTCAGCGGCCGAGCTTCACGCAGCCACGCACCCCTCACTAGTGCTTGGAGACCGAGCTTGCGCGGCACCGCGATTGTCGCGGGACCCACTCTAAGATCCGCTCTCCGGGTTTTAGAGAAGTTCTCGGCTAGGCGGGAAAGCGTTGGCCTTGGCCGGAAGGAATTGAGGACAGGTTTTTTAGCGTAACTCTCTCCGAGGGCAGGGTTTATTCTGCATCACTCTCAGTAAACTGTTGAAATTGAAAATTTTAAATAACAGATGAGATTGACACAGTATATTCTTTATGGTATGTGTTTTAGAAGCACTTATCTAGCTAATAAAAAAGTAATCAAAGGTTTTCAGTGTCTCAGGTCTCTCAGATCTGACCAATCATAAAGCTCCTGTTTCTGTCGTTCAGCGCCAACTCACCTCATTTCGTGGCTGACGTGAAAACCAGGAGTAAAGGTCTCATACCTCTACTCCGGATTGGGTTGGGAAACGGGCATGCGCAGTGCGAGTGGTCTAACTACAGCCACTCCTACCCTCGCTCCTTATCTGAAGTTTTGCTGTTTAGCTGGAGGACAAAACTTTTATCTCCTCTACCATTCTAAGGAGTTATTGAGGAAGTTATTTTATGGCTATTTTAAAGTTTATCTGACATTGTAAAAGTCACCTTTATTTTCAAACCTGTCTTTTCTATAATTTTCCCAGTCGAAGAATGTTTACATCCTTCACATCCAGTGTCGAGAAACACTTTACTGTAGAAATGTTGCGTTCTATTTTTCTTTCAATTATCTCTGCTGTTAAATAATGTAGGTAACCGTGATTCAAAACCTGACAATCGTATTTACTGGTTTCACAGGCTCTGAATAGCCCGCCTTTGCTGCCATTGTTGTTTTGGTCCCTTCTTAAGAGACGCAAGGTCATGGGCAGAGGCCATTTTTCTTTTGGGCAGACTTGTCGCGACATTCAGGCTTCTTGACTAGTGTTTTGTAGCCATCTTAAGTTTTGGTTATAACTTCAAGCTGGCTTCAAGCCTTGAGGGGCGCTGTCCAAATGACGTTTTGTTTGAGCGCCGGCAGCGATTACCAGCTCGCGGAGAGACTCTGGGAAGGGGAAAGGGAGCCTGAAGTATGAATTTCCAAAGCTTTTGAAGGGTGATTTACTCTGAGTTTCTACAACTAGATACACCAGTGACCCTGGACACTAACAAAACAAATAAAAGCCCGAACCCAAACCCTGCCACCATCATAGGTAAGAACGTGGAAATCCTGACAACCTAAAATGTTCATTCACTCGAACCGAATTGTTTGCCCGTCTTTTCCCATGTTTGTTTGTTTTCCCTTTTGATTTTTGAGCCTTTCCTGAATCCTTCTCCCTGTGCTCCCACCTCTCTTCATTGTCCTCAAAGAACTAGAAAGACGTTAAACATAAGGGTGCGGGAAGTCTGAGCTTTAAAGTTTTACAGTTGGAAGTATTGGTCTGGAACATTTTTTTGTTTGTTTAAGGACAAAATGGAATACAACTAGTGAGTCAGTTATTTGTATCAAACATCTATATGCACATATTTAGCCCCCCTTGCAAACGTTTTTGGGTTGCGACGTAAATACAGGTTGTGTTTGTATGTATTCATTCATTTATTCAGTTACATTTATTGAGTACCTAATGTGTTGTAGGCCATAAGAATGCTGTAGTAAATTGAAAAACACTTTCCTTCATGGAATTTACGTTCTATCAACCTTGACAACTACTAGGTTGGGGCAAGTAATAGTACAGGTATACCTCAGATATGTTGTGGGTTTGGCTCCAGACCACCATAATCATGTAGGTTGTTGGCGGGGGGGCGGGGGGGTGGGGGTGCGGGGGGGAGCAAGTTGTAATCATTTTGCTGGTGAAGGGTCTTGCCCTCTATTTGTAAAACAAAACAAAACAGAAACAAAAAGACAAAACAAAAAAACAAACGCAATATCTGTGACGCGCAATAAAGCCAAGTGCAATAAAATGAGGTATGTCTGTATTCTGTGGTGCTTAGCACTGCTAGACTATACAGGTATTTAAGTATGCACTTGCTCCTACTTTCCCCCAAAACCCGCCACGTGTTTTTCCTTTGGACACTTATATCCTGGAACTTATACATAACCATAATTGTAGTTAGTTAGGGCCTTGCTGCTCTAAAAGTGGTCTACCTACCAGCAGCATCGCTGTCAGTTGTGTACTTGCCAGAAATTCTGTCTTAGATCACATCCTCAGAACCAGAGTCAGAATCTTTCTGAAGAAGTGCATCCTGAAGAGTAGCGAGCACTCATTTAGGGCACTGACTAAAGATAAAGATGGTCTCTTCAATTTGTGCTGCTTAAACAGTTCACAATATATTGTCAGTTAATTCCGTATTTTATTTTTTATTTTTTAAAGATTTTTATTTATTTTCAGAGAGGGAAGGGAGGGAGAGAGAGAGAGAGAGAGAGAGAGAGAGAGAGAGAAACATCAATGTGTGGTTGCTGGGGGTCATGGCCTGCAACCCAGGCATGTACCCTGACTGGGAATCAAACCTGCGACACAGTTAATTCCATATTTTAAATGCAGTGGACATATGGCACATTTTTTCAGTGCTTTTAGTTCATTCATCATTTTGATGTCAAGATGCCAATTTAGCATTCTAAAAAGTTGAAGAGAATTTGTTAGTCTGGTTTATTGTTTTGTAACTTCTGTTATGATAACACCTATGTTTATATGTTTACTTTTAATTTATTGAATGTTGAACTCAAAAGCCTGCATGTTCAACAGTTCAATATTGATTTGAAAAGCCTTGGGCCATGGTTTACCAAAGCTTTTTGTGGCACCTTGCTTTCTTCTGTGTTCCTTTAATGAGAAATATGAATCTGACTTATCTTGGAGTTCTTAATAGTGTACTCATGAAAATCACCTGGGGAGCTCTAAAGAAAAAAAAAGCTCCAGCCCAGTATCAGCAGAGGTTGAGACCTATGAATGGAATTAAGGAATCACTAAGGTATTAGAGAAACTTCAAAGGACTTTTACATTTTCCATATTGTTGTATGTTGAATTTGAAGGCAATAAAGAGAATTGGACTGGGAATGTGGTGAATCAGCTTCCCAGTAACCAATTAACTTGCATTTATTTAGTCTGTGTCCTAAGTAAGGTATTCAGCCTTTCTGTCTCTTCCTCCATCTATTAATTGGGAAAAGAAAAATGAAGACCCTATTGTTTTTTATTTAGCTTTATATGAGTGTTGCACAACATAGTGAATACTTATATCCTATGAATATGAGGAAGGACAGTGTTTCATAAGTGCAATGTTCATTGCTTCTGTTTTTCATATACAGGCATATCTTGTTTTATTGAGGTTCATGTTATTGGTTTTCATATTGTTGCTTTTTTACAAATGGAAGACAAAATTTTCTACCAGCAAAAAGATTATGACTTGCTTTATTGCAATATGTGCTTGTTTTGGAGGTCTGGAATCTGACCTGCATTATCTCTGAGGTATACCTGTCCCAGGCCAAGAAGATGCTTTTTTGTTGTTTTTTTTTCCTTCAGATTTTATTTATTTACATTTAGAGAGAGGGGAAGGGAGGGTGAAAAGGAAAGAAACATCTATATGCAAGGGATACATCGATTGATTGCCTCTTGCAGGCTTCCAACTAGGGACCTGGCCTGCAACCCAGGCACGTGCCATGATTGGGAATCGAACAGGCGACCTTTCATTTTGCAGGCTGGCACTAAATCCCCTAAACCACACCAGCCAGAGCAAAGATGTACTTTGTTAATGGTCTTTTTCTTTTAAACAACTTTATTGAGGTATGATTGTCACACAATAAACTGCACATATTTAAAGTGTGCAATTTGATGTGTTTTAGATGTATACACCAGTGAGAACTATCAGCACAATCAAAATAACATCACCACCAAAAGTTTCCTCTTGCCCTTTGTAATTCCTTAACCACTGTCCTTTAGCCAACCACTAATCTGATTTCTGTCACTCTAGATTAGTTTACATTTTCTAGGATTTTATCTGATGGAATCTTACTGTAGGAGCTGGATTTTTTTGGTTGGGGGGGTGGTATGGGTGGTGGTAGAGGAGCCTCTCTTGCTTGTAATTGAGAGCCATGTTTGATTTTGTATCAGTAGTTACTTTTTAATCACCCAGCAGTATTTCACTGCATGGAAATAAAGTGACTTATTTTACCTTAACCAGTGGAAGGGCATTTGAGTTGTTTTTATTTTCACAGCATTCTTTTCACATTGCTGTGTTTTTCTCCAGTTTATTTGACTTAGGGGGGAAAAAGGCTCATGACTTAGTGGCCAGACCTTCTACATACACAGTAATAAAATGTGTTTGTATTGGGACTTTACTTTTGCCATTGTGGTTTATGAATTGTTTTCTGAGTAAAACATGTCATAGCTTTTTAAAAATACAAAATGTATGCACTGACTTTTTAGTGGATTGTCTCTCTTGATGTGTACATGTCTAGTTACTTTAAGCTTTATTAAATCTTTAAAGTCTACTATTTATATATTACTCTTTAGGGATTGAGGATAGTAACTCATGCACGTTAAGTAACCTACTCATTAAACAGTACAGTCGAGATCTATGATGTCAATCTTAAAATGTCATAAAACTCCCTTTTGTCCATAAATGGAGAGTACCACTCACATCTAATGTTGATGTAGGTACATTTCCAAAGTTTTTTTGCTTCTATTTTAGCAAAGCAGTGCCTTGTGTTTATTATGGTATTGACATTTTGTGCCTGAATAAATCAGAGCCAGTAACTAAAATTGAATATGCCTTATATTAATCATAGGATAATATATATATTACAGTTATAGTATCTTGGGCATTTAAAAGTTTATTTTGGTCATTATTTTTATTTATTTTCAAGATATAAAAGATTGGATTTTTTTGTTTTGCAGTTTTAGAAATATTTTTACTTTACATGTAGTATAAGTTACTCTTAGATGTAAATTTCATGAGTGTTGACCAATGCATTGATCATGTGACCACCATCTCAACCAGGATGCAGAACAGTTACAACATCCCCCTTCCCAATTCCCTTCTGCTACCCCCAGTGGTAACTCTTCACCACTCCACACATGGCAGTCAACACCTCTATAGTTTTTGCATTGAAATGATTAGATTTTAAGATGATTGCATTAGTCATTATCAGAAGTTTTTTTCCTTATGGTTAAGGTGGCTGGAAACAGTGGTTATCAGCGTGGAACTGGGACTGATGGTATTTTGTCTTGTGCCCTCCACGTTTCTAATGATTATGGTTTACAGAGACTGAGCACTCACTGAGCTGAAGGCACTGGGCCAAATATTTATTACATATCTGATCTCACATAATCCTCACCTCCCTTGGGATAGACACTCATAATCATCATAGATTGAAAACCAAACAAAAAAGACTTGCAGGAGTTGACTAGCCTTTTGGAGGTCACATGAAGGGGCAGATTTTGAACATGTGTGTTTTACTAGGACCTGAGGACTAGACTGCCCCATGTGGTAGTGCCTATGTCTGTTTCTGACAAAGTATTGGCTTGGCCAAAAAAGTTTTAGTTTTTTTCCATACAATGGCTCTGCTCTAGCAGTGCTTAGTTGTCTTTAACTTCATTCGAAACAATTTTGTTAGATTGTATTGTGACAGCTGTCATATCAGTGTGCGCTTTTAAAAAAACTTATCAAAACTGGTGAATTTTTGTATAGCCATTTTAATATTGAAGATGGAAGAAAATATGCAACACTTTCAGCATATTATGCTTTATTATTTCAAGAAAGGTAAAAATGCAATGAAACACAAAAAAAATTTGTGCAGTGTATGGAGAAGGTGCCGCAATGGATCAGATGTGTTAAAAGTGGTTTGCGAAATTTCTTGGTACTATTGATGTTTTGGCCAAATAACTTTTTGTTGTGGGGCTGATACACTGGAAGATGTTTAGCAGCACCCCTAGCCCTACTACCCACCTCTACCCACTAGAATCCAATAGCAGGAGATAGCTGACATACTAAAAATATCTAAATCAATAAAGTTATTGGTGAAAATTAAAACTGTTTCTTTTGCCCTGGCTGGTGTAGCTCAGTGGATTGAGCCTGTGAACCAAAAGGTTGCTGGTTCAATTCCCAGTCAGGGCACATGCCCGGGTTGTGGGCCAGATCCCCAGTAGGGGATGTGTGAGACACAGCCACACATTGATGTTTCTCTCCCTCTCTCCTTCCCTTCCCCTCTCTATAAAAGTAA